GGACCACGATTTTAGTTGCAAGAAAAAGAAAGTAAGACTTTTTACAAAAAAGCAGAAGCTCACTTTTTTTTTATCGAGTTTGACGGATTCTCTTTTATACTTTTTTTTAAGTCTATGGCCTATTTAGTATTTGAAGAGTAAATGAGAGTTAAAACCAACCAAGACAATTATTTGAATAAAATGTTCTCTGCAAAATTGTTTATACTGGTAGTAAGCATAAAATTCGGCTATTTCACACACAAAAATTCAATGGTTCAACGACTTTAAAATGTATCCTAACAACGTCAAATTATTGGATGAAGCATTAATCTTGATTTTATTCAGACAAATTATTTTATTTTCCGATTGATATTTCTCAGTATTCTTACCCTAGCTGCAGCGATCAAGCATTTATCGTCAAATTTAAAAGTGCCTACAATGGATATCAGGACTCAAGATCAAGCTCTCAAGATTAACGATACTAAACACTACAGTTCCAACCTCTGATATCAATATATGCTGAATCACCACTTTGAAAAGTTTATGATTAAAAAAAGAAAGACTAGTCACGTGACAGGTTTGAACCCGACCGAGACCGAGATCGCTGATCTCATTCATAATGTCGATGCTAACGAGGATGGAAAAATAGGTGGCAGAATTTTTTTTATTTCAATCTTATTTTTATTGTTTCTTTTCCACTCTGCATGTTTTCTTTGTTTTCTTTCCGTTAAACTCCTAATATTCATGTACATAATTCGTTAAGTTTGTGCTTTGTTGTTTTTCTTTTGATCAACATTTTTTGTCTTTCGTTTGAACACTTGAATTTGTAATTAATTGTAAATCTTAATATATTTTATTCAATTCATTTTTGAGATATCTTTAAACTTTTGTCTCCGTTTAATTATTTTTTTTTTCGATTTTATTAATAATATTAGAAATATAAAATTAAATCAAATCAAATCAAATATTAACTGCAAAGAAATAATGTATATCAGAATATGCATAAAATAAAAGGACACATTAGTCTTTTACAAGTGAACCCCAGTAATTTATAAATGACAATAAGATAGGTTTAGAGGCAGATTTAAAAATGTTTTTAGATTCGAACTGCGGTATTTCAACAGGAAAATTATTCCATGCGGAAGGAACAGATACAAAAGGGAATCTTCTAAGAAATTCAGATCTGACTCCGGGTCCTGGATTCAACCTGCTAATGCTAATGCTAATTTCTTAACTCTCATTAACTCGGACAAAGTTGTTTTGACTGGAGAGTTTATAAGATACAGAGCAACATTCTTTTATCGTTAATTTTTATATTAGCTCAAGTGAAAGTGCCGTTCATAGATAATTTTGAACGGTTACATAACAAGCCGAACGTTAACGAGCGGTCTGAAAAAAGGAACAATTGTAAATAAAATATGATTTTTCTTAGATTTTGATGAGTTTACTGAAATGATGAAGGGTATGGAGAAGGAGGACGAGGATGCTGAATTGCAGAAAGCTTTTGAAGGAAAATCAATTAAAAAAATAAAATTGAATTACCCCAATTCAAAAAGTTGTCATGTCCGTGTGCAATGCAAATCCTTTTTTCATCGGAAACCAAAATACTTTTTCGAAGACCTGTTTCCATTAAAAATATAATTATTAATTTTTTAATTAAAATTTTTAATTTGATTTTGTTTCTGGACTGAGATTTCACAGAAAGTAAAAATGGCAAAATTTTTCCAAGAAATTAATAAATATTTGAAACTTCATAATTGGATTTAAAATGCCATATTTAATGTGTATTTCAAATACAAAACTGGAAAGAATATGATGAAGAATTATACTTTTGTGGAAAAAATGCCGTAATGGTTTTAATAAAAATGTTTTCTTCGATTTTTCCCACAGAACTTTATTATACTCGTTGTTATGGACTCTGGACATTGCACTGTGCACAATATTAAAGTAGATGGAGGAGGGGGGGGGACTCCCCCCTCCTCCCAAATAAATCATAAAACTAAAGTAGCTTTCTAATCATTGCACAAAGGGCCATGGGTATTCAATACCTTTAAAATCCAACTTATATTTTTGGACCAGAGAGTGTTTGTTACTAAAACTAGAAATCGAGAGAACTTCAAAACTGTTCTTATTTAGTCAGTACGATACTTTTTAGGCTCTTTATTAGCCTTTTCACATAAACACTGCAAGATTTTACCCTGACCAGATTCTAAAAAATTGTAATTAAATATACAGGTAAAACATATAGTAGAATGAAGAAGTAGTTTTACTCTTGTTAAGCCACCATACAGTTTATCCTCCCTTAGATACCAATTAATTAGCAAAAGAGAAAATTTTTTTTTTTTCTATCTTTATATTAAGATTTTTGATAAAAAATTTGTCCAAAAAGCATAGGATTTTTATGACAATTTCAAATCTAAATGCACAGGAAACATCTTTGGCGCTGTTTCTCCTACAAAAATAGAAAACAAGAATATAAACATTTACACCCCCTTCGTCCTTCAAAGGGGGGTTAAAACGCCCAAAGGCCCACCTGTAGTTAAACACTTATTTGGTGATAACTTTATCATTTTTGGGAATTTTTCAAATCTGAACAGGCCATTCACCTACATTTTTAAAACTTTTTGTTTTGGTATAAATATCAATATATTTTAAGAATATTATATATATCACAGGAAATAACCTCATTTGTACTACCGATGACCTCCTGAGAGGTCATGACTACTCCGTGAGAAAAAATAACCCCGAAAATGAATTCCTTAGCCCCACAAACCCCTAAAAACATGTATGATATGCATACGACGCTTATGAAGACAATGATTTTACAATCTTAACAATTTAAACTGCACCATTTATATATGTATGACGTATGTATATCTTTGTGTGTGAATAAATCTTTATAATAATATAGTAAAGATAATGTCCTCGAATTTATACATTGATTGATTGAGCCAGTATTCGACACGAACCATGACAGTTCTCTATCCCCGGATGAAGTAAAAGCTCTGCTTAAGCGTTTAGGAATCCCTCCGACAGATTCACAGGTTAAGGTAAGTTTAGGAATCCCTCCGACACAATCACAAGTTAAGGGTAAGTTTAGGAATCCCTCCGAAAAATCACAGGTTAAGGTAAGTTTAGGAATTACTCCGACAAATTCTCAGGTTAAGGTAAGTTTAGGAATCCTTCCAACACATTCACGAGTCAAGGTTAGTTTAGGAATCCCTCCGAAAAATTCTCAGGTTATAAGTTAAGTTTAGGAATCCCTCCGACACATTCACAAGTCAAGGTTAGTTCAGGAATCCCTCCGACAAATTCTCAGGTTATAAGGTAAGTTTAGGAATACCTCCGATACATTCACAAGTCAAGGTTACTTTAGGAATCCCTCCGATAAATTCTCAGGTTATAAGGTAAGTTTAGGAATCCCTCCGACAAATTCTCAGGTTATAAGGTAAGTTTAGGAATCCCTCCGACAAATTCATAGGTTAAGGTAAGTTTAGGAATCCCTCCGACACAATCACAAGTTAGGGTAAGTTTAGGAATCCCTCCGAAAAATCACAGGTTAAGGTAAGTTTAGGAATCCCTCCGACAAATTCTCAGGTTAAGGTAAGTTTAGGAATCCCTCCGAAAGATCACAAGTCAAGGTTAGTTTAGGAATCCCTCCGACAAAGTCTCAGGTTATAAGGTAAGTTTAGGAATCCCTCCGACACATTCACAAGTCAAGGTTAGTTTAGGAATCCCTCCGACAAATTATCAGGTCATAAGGTAAGTTTAAGAATCCCTCCGACAAACTCTCAGGTTAAAATAATGTTTGGAGTCTCTTCGATAAATTCCCTGGTCCAGAAATCCCTCTGATGGATTGAGAGGTTAAACTGAGTATCAGAAATCCTCCGATTGATAAACAGCTTCTAGAAAATTCGACTTTAAAAACAAAGAAAAAGCTTCAAATTATTAAACTCTTTGTTTTAATCTTTAAAAAGTAACTTTTTTGTCAATGTTTTAATCAAAACTCTCAATTAATAGAGAGGGATTCATAAAGCTACCCTTTCAACCAATGTCTGAGCAACAGTAAGGAAGATTCCGGTTTTTTTTCTATCTGGAAAAGGGTTAAATTTTAACAATTTTCCTGATTGTCTCTGTCTCTGCATTGCATAAAACCACAGGTAATTTTAAATGAGAAACAAATAGTTAAAGTAATCAATTTACAACTTTACAAGGAGAAAAAACATGAATTTCTTCATCATTTTTACAGATGTGAATCAGACATGTCACTCCATATTTTGAAAATTAAGTTTCATTTGAAATTCGTGTAGAATCCCTTTAATTTATGAAATGTTTACTACAGGAAGTAATGAAGATGGTGGACACCAACAAGGATGGGAAAATAAGTTTAGAAGAATTTAAAGCAATTATGAAATCTTAGAAAGTATTTAGAATTTTTACTTCTATTTGCATTTAAACAGTTTCCCATTTTGATGTTTTTTATAAAAACATGTTTATTATAGTTAATAATGGTGTGTGATAAAATTAACCTTGTGTGCCTTACAGCTTGCTAAACATGAAATAATTACAAATAAATCGCTTAAAGGAGTGACCGGCAATGTATGGTAGTTGAACTGAGAATTTCAGTTTTCGAAAGAAAGGAATTGAGTCTTTGTCACAAACTCTGATTTTCTAATACCTAAATCTTTGCAACCCAATTTCGTAGACGTTAGATATTTTAAACTATGAATTCTTTTAGATCAAATAGCCTAAGTTTGAAATATCAAGGGTTTCCACCATCAGGTTGCAAAGATATAAAGATTAGAAAATATGAGTTTGTGGCAAAAACTCAATTCCATTGTTAGGATTCATTTGAGACCTTCCAGACGTTTTTACGGTGCATATTTGTTCAGCAGGAGCGCAAATTCAATTTTTTAAATCCTCCTTCATTGTCCATTTTGGAAAGATGATTTTGATTATAATGTTGTTGTTAATATATAACCTCTAACTCTCTATGTGATGAAAATTAACCCTGTGTGCCTTAAATAGTTTGCTCAATAAAATAAAGTTTATATTCGGCTAATTATGTAAAATAAGAAAAATATTTTAAAATAAGTGATTTTCAATATATTTCTAATCAAAACGAAACAAAACAAAACGAGAGATAAAGGGTTTTTTGACGTAGCTTAATCATTTATTTATTTATTGATAAGGTAGACTTCTATTTTTAAAGGTGCGAATTTTGTAACCATTTTTATAACGCTTTTGTTTAAAACGAATGATCTACCCTATATACTATACTATACTTTAAGAACAGTATTTTCTGTTGTATTTAGTATTATTTTGTAGAAGGGAAGTTTAAATTATCGTTAATGGTTTATAGCAGCATATTCAGGAGAATTATTTAAACCATGAATCAATGTTCTTTGTTCTTTTTATAGACGGGATGAAGGAGGGTATCGTAAGAGATTAACCAAAAACCGGGAATAGATTGGAGGGGAGGGATGGGGGTGCAAAGAAATATGTATTTAAACCTAATTAGAAACAAAGGTCTTAGATTAAATATTTTTATTCACATAGAAACATGTTGATATTCCAATTAAATTCTAAATTATTACAAAGCTGTATAATCTTTGTATTCCCTGTGTCTGAAGAACTGTTAATAGCGCTGTAGCTGTTTCCGTATCAGCTCCGTAGACCCAGTATTTGCTCGAGAAAAAAATACAAATAGAAAGAATTATTTTGTTCATAAAAGTTGACATTATTAAGTCTAAGTTTGTTTGTTAAGTCTAAGTTTGTTTGATAAGTCTAAGTATGTTCATAAGTCTAGATTTGTTTATAAATTTCGATTTTTTTTAATATGTCTAAGTGTCAAATTTTCTGATATGTACAAGTACAAATATCGGACGGTACAAACTTAAGACAAACGTCGGACCAGTACTAATGTCGGACTAGTTCAAACGTCGGACTGGTATAAATGACTGGTATGAATGTCGGATAGTGCCAACGTCGGACAGTACAAACGTCTGACCAGTACTAACGTCGGACTAGTACAAATGTCGGATTGGTATAAATGTCAGACAGTGCCAACGTCAGACCAGGTACTAACATCGGACTAGTTCAAACGTCGGACTGGTATAAATGTCGGACAGTGCCAACGTCGCACCTGTACAAACGTCGGACTGGTATAAATGTCGGGTAGTGCCAACGTCGAACAGTACAAACGTCTAACCAGTACTAACGTCGGACTAGTACAAATGTCGGATTGGTATAAATGTCAGACAGTGCCAACGTCAATGTCAGACCAGTACTAACATCGGACTAGTTCAAACGTCGGACTGGTATAAATGTCGAACAGTGCCAACGTCGGACAGTTCAAACGTCGGACCAATACAAACGTCGGACTGGTATAAATGTCAGACAGTGCCAACGTCGGACCTGTACAAACGTCAGACCAGTACAAACGTCTGACCAGAACTAACGTCGGACTAGTAAAAACGTCGGACTGGTATAAATGTCGGACAGTGCCAACGTCAGACAGTTCAAACGTTGGACCAATACAAACGTCGGACTACTACAAACTTCGGACTGGTATAAATGTCGAACAGTGCCAACGTCGGACCTAAAACGTTAGACCTGTACAAACGTCAGACCAGTACAACGTCGGACTAAGGAAAAAGATTTTGTTTGAATTTGAAGATTTTTTTTTATTAAAAGTTGTTTCTTTTTATCGAATGGTCTGATTATATCCAAAGGAACTGAGGTCTTGCCACTTACTCAAATATGTTCATCTCCATATCTATGCAATCTGTACGACATCGTGTTGCAAAGATATAGGCGTTGAAACATCAGCGTTTGTGACAAGAACTCAACTTCTTTTTGGTTTCAAAGGATGCGACTTTATTTAATTATCTTTTAAATTTTTATCACAATAACCGTGGTCTTTTTTAGAATTCAATCAAAGTCCGAAGGATATGTGTAAACATGTTTGATAAGTCTAAGTTTTATTGATAAGTCTAAATATAATTGATGAGTTAAAGTTTGTTCCTTAAGCCTAAAAAATGAGGGGGTTTATAGGTGATTTATTCCTTCATTTGCATATTGTCTTCAATTGTTCACAAAAGTACTGTCCTTCTATCTTCAGTTATACCTCCCTACCTTTCCCGCATAAATGGTAAACCTCCCATTTTAATGAAGAAGGGGAGGGTTTCAATATTTTTAATTATTTCAATTTATATGCAATTGATCCTCCATTTTACTGCTGCTATAGTCCATTAATTCCTCCACTTAAATCCACCATTCCCTTTCCACCCTTTTATTTCCCCTCCCCACCCTTTTATTCCCCCCTACCCTCTCCCCCATCTCCCAACTCCCCCCTTTCCCTCGACGTCTCTGAAAAGGGACTGTAGGCAAAATTTAATTAGATATACTGTAACCCCTTCAGTCCTCATACAGACCCAGAGCTAAGATGTAATCAGGATGAGCTCAATAGCTCGGAATAAACCTTGAGCTTTTACCGCTCTAACTCACTTATGCTTTACATGTACATTTTAACACTATAAAGCATTTGTTGTTAGCTTTAATTATAAAGAAGTAATTGGCAAAATTCTCATTGATTAATGCTTGAGAGCTTGAGACCTTTAAAATGTTGCGAATCAAGCATGACCCACTGAAAAAGGAAGGTCTCTTGAAATAACAGCAATATTCTCTTTAATCCCTCCTCTAGTTTAATCCCTCCCTCCCCTCGTTATTTGTCTAGTTTTGTCATCGTTTCTACACTTTTTCTCAACTCCTCAATCCTTCTCCTTAATCCCATGTTGTCAGGATTAATCCTCAATCCTTCAACACTTTTCATTTATAATAATCCCTTCAGTGTTCTCTTTACATCAGAAGAAGTCATTCTTGTTCTTCTTGTTCTTCTTGTTCTTCTTGTTCTTCTTGTTCTTCTTTTTCTTCTTGTTCTTCTTGTTCTATTCCTTGATTATTATATTCTTGTATAGAGTTTGTGATTTTCTTTTGATCTAATTCCTCAACGTTTTGTTCTACTCTTTGCTTTCTTTCTTCTTGTTTTGTACTTTTCGATTTCTGCTTGTTTGCTATGTTCTTTGCATTTGTTCGTCTTTATTTGATAACATTTTTTCTACTTCATCTACTTCTTGTTTTCCTTTTTGGTCTCTTGTTTAACTTTTTTCTTATTTTTCATCTTCTAGGTCTTCTTCATTTTTCTTTTTGGTCTAGTTCTTCTTGTTTTCCTTTTTGTCCTTTTTGTTTAACTTTTTCTTCTAGGTCTCCTTCTCTGTATTTTTCTTGCTTTTTCTAGATCTTCTTTTTCTCCTTTATAATGACTTTTTCTTCTAATTTTCCTTTTCCTTTTTTGTATTTTTCTTGCTCTTTTATCTTCTTGGTTTTTAGAGAGTTATAACGAGGTTTCGTGATTTTTTCTCTACTCTGCTCTGTTGATAGGACTGACATGACAGTTTAAATCATATTTGATGAATCAGACTTTGGGTAAATTCATTTCTGAACCTAAACCTGAACCTAATTCTGAACCAGAACCTGAACCTGATCCTGAGAACAGTGCCAACGTCGGACAGTTCAAACGTCGGACCAATACAAACGTCGGACTGGTATAAATGTCAGACAGTGCCAACGTCGGACCTGTACAAACGTCAGACCAGTACAAACGTCTGACCAGAACTAACGTCGGACTAGTAAAAACGTCGGACTGGTATAAATGTCGGACAGTGCCAACGTCAGACAGTTCAAACGTTGGACCAATACAAACGTCGGACTACTACAAACTTCGGACTGGTATAAATGTCGAACAGTGCCAACGTCGGACCTAAAACGTTAGACCTGTACAAACGTCAGACCAGTACAACGTCGGACTAAGGAAAAAGATTTTGTTTGAATTTGAAGATTTTTTTTTATTAAAAGTTGTTTCTTTTTATCGAATGGTCTGATTATATCCAAAGGAACTGAGGTCTTGCCACTTACTCAAATATGTTCATCTCCATATCTATGCAATCTGTACGACATCGTGTTGCAAAGATATAGGCGTTGAAACATCAGCGTTTGTGACAAGAACTCAACTTCTTTTTGGTTTCAAAGGATGCGACTTTATTTAATTATCTTTTAAATTTTTATCACAATAACCGTGGTCTNATTTGATAGGACTGACATGACAGTTTAAATCATATTTGATGAATCAGACTTTGGGTAAATTCATTTCTGAACCTAAACCTGAACCTAATTCTGAACCTGAACATGAACATGAACATGAACATGAACATGAACATGAACATGAACATGAACATGAACATGAACATGAACATGAACATGAACATGAACCTGAACCTGAACATGAACATGAACATGAACATGAACCTGAACCTGAACCTAAACCTAAACCTGAACCTGAACCTGAACCTGGTCCTTAACGTGAACCTGAACCTAAAACTAAACCTATATTGCAGGAAGCTTAATCCAATCCATAGCCTAGCATGAACATATACAATCTGTAAATTTCAATATAACATTGACATACTAGAAACATGAACCTGAACGAGTTAAAATATGAAAATGAACATGAATTCAAAGATGAAAATGAACATAAATACAAATATGAAAATGAACATGAATACAAAGATGAAAA